TTATTACGTAATAATCCTCTCAATAAATTAAGGAAAAATAAATAAAAATAAAAAATGGCATCACAACAAGAAGAGCGAGAGAAACTCGACGCCAGGGCCAAGCAAGGCGAGACGGTGGTCCCTGGTGGCACCGGCGGCAAGAGCCTCGAAGCCCAAGAGCACCTTGCTGAAGGTATATATATATATATTTTAAATTCATATATCTTTTATGATCCTAAAAATAATTATATCTTAAATCAAACCAAATCCCTTCGACTGCTACCAAAAAAACACAATCCAATTTCAAAAGTCAAAACATAATCTAATTCAAATTTGTAATTCGCGTGATATAAAAATAATTATGTTAGTAAAAAAAAATGGGGTAATTGTACGAATTACTGCAGGGAGGAGCCGAGGGGGGCAAACGAGGCGGGAGCAGCTCGGGACTGAGGGTTACCAAGAGATGGGGAGTAAAGGCGGGCAAACCCGAAAGGAACAGCTCGGGAAAGAAGGGTATCAAGAGATGGGACGTAAAGGTGGGCTTAGCACCATGGAGAAATCGGGCAGCGAACGTGCAGCCGAGGAGGGGATCGAGATTGACGAGTCCAAGTTCAAAACTTCCTCTTAAAAGTTGTTAATAATGTATGATATGAATGTGTAGTATTTGTGTGTGTTGATCGAACGAGAAATAATAGTGGTGTAGCTGGTGAATTAATTTGGTCTCTAGATAGTATTGTAGTTTTCAATGGTATGTATTTTATGTACATATAGCTTGTAATAGTAATGGTCTCTTGTAATATATATGCTAGCTTTGTGATGTGTATTGGGAACTTGTGTTTTGAGTTTGGTTAATTTGGGTGATTGAATTGGGCTGCTATGTAGTGTTGAATTCTGTATGAAGTAGATTAAGCAGGCCCAGAATGAGTGTGTTAAGTTCACCTACCTTTAAAAAGTGGGGAAGCAAATTAATGGCTCTAAGTTTTGATTTTTTTTAGGCCCAGGATGTGACAACGGCCAGAGGCTCACAAGGTCGCCCTATTAAATATAGCATATACTCTAGGGTGTAAAAAACTGCAACAAAATTTGTCATATAAATGAGAATTAAAGATTTAATCATAAAAGAGCTAGGGTGATGAACATTGTAACCATTGGCCAATAAATAGGTTGAATTTGGCAATTTGGTTTTAAACTCCTGGAGAGTTCGAATTTGACTCGTTAATATTTAAAGTGAGCCCGAATTTTGCATTTTAAGTTTTTAACTAGTTTGAGTCGCAACGAATTTGACTAACGAATTTGACTTGTTCGCATTTTAACTAGTTTGAATGTTTCGGTAAATGAGTAAACAATTATATTTTCAAAATTGCCACAAGAAAGGGGTAATCTGTAAATAAAAAAAATAAATCAATGGCAAAATATAAAGTGGCAAAGTCGCACTTGAACAGGCAAAGCAGGGGAGGCCCCATTTTAGCTCTTGGTGCATTCTATGCCGATTATTTAGTGTTGTCACAGCTGTCACAATTTTGTCCTCTCTTCATTCTTCAATAAATAGTTTCATTTTTTTGGCACAAGTTAAAAGTGTGTATGCCTACTGCACAGTGTATATGATATGAAGCTATCAACGCACCAACTGAATTCTGCTAAATTGCTAAGTTGATATAATCTTAATGTTGATTTGAAGTTGTTATTTAATATGTAAAACAACACAATTTTGTCATATCTATTATGTTAAACTTTATGTCAACAATTATATTATTGTAGTATGGTCTCACAAACCACACAAACTATGATGCGTTCGAATAAATCGACTACACGACTACACGAACACGACAATCAGTCTGATCGTATACATGAAATTGATAAATCGAATTGAAGATTGTATCAGAAATTTAACATGAGTAGATGCAATAATGCAAATTAAGTTTGAATTTTATGGAATATTTGAGAGCATGTAAGTGTAGAGTTAGTAACTTACGACCAGGGGCGGATCTAGAAAAATAAATTGGGGGGGGACAACTTTTTTTTAATGACGTATACTTAACAACAAAGACATAAAGTTGTAAATTTGAAATTACAAAAATAAGGTTGCAATAAAGAAAATATATATCTTTCAAACTTCATTTCTATTAGATTTGAACTCAACGTTATTTCAAGTCACTAAACCCATCAATGATTGACTCGATACTAATAGATCTTGCAATTTCAATGAAGATAGTCAAAGATTTTAGAAGAAAGGTATAGGAAATTCCTCTTTTACCTTAATTTGATCATGTTTTCTTTTAAAAAATGAGTCAATTGTTGATGTTTTCATCATACCCTGAAAATAATATAAAAATATGGATATTAATATTGAAAAGATATAGACAATTCTAGATATAAAAAAGTGATTTTCTTAAAAAGAAGAAGAAAACCAAATTGGCCAAAGACACATAGCAATAGGAATTAGGATATGTATATTTGTTTAAAATAAGTTGGCAGCAACAAGTACATAAACATCATGATTTATAAATAAAAACATACTATAGACTTTCAAGGATGGTCAAAACACTTCTTCTATTTGCACCATTATATACGTGGGAGCTCTGGAGGACTCCACATTTTTTTTTTACATTAAATTGCTTTTTAGTACATATATAAATTTTTTGAATGAAGCTGAAAGAGAAAAGGAATTGAGGAAAACCTCATACACTCAACTTATTAAAACTTA